AAAATTTTTTCACTGCATTTTAGGTAGGAAGGATAGGTAAGGTTTGTTCTTGACTTTCTGGATTTGTGACAAGTTACAAGTCTCTTTCGGTCTCTGGTATGGAGGGTGCAGGTTCTATTTCCAGATTGTATGACTGATTCATGTATGAAAAATTTAAAAAAATGAATTTTTAAGGCAGTATCTTGTAAGAAGATGTCTGAGTGAATGTTGCCCTATCATAATTGGCATAAAACAGATAATGCAGAATGAAACACCAACAAGTTGAGTGACTAGGTGAATCGCTGACATGCAATTATGGAGGGCAGGGCCTGGTACCTAGAGCTCCTTTTGAGAGAAGATTTTTAAAATCTCTGTGAGAATTTGATGAAAATAAAGTGGTGGCTTGGTTGGGGCGGGGGGTGTCTTGCCATCTCTCCGGAACTTGGAATGATTGACGTACATAGCTGAAAAAATGAACCCGATTTTCTGTTGAGACGTACCTATAAACTTCTGTATGTTTCTTTGGGATCTGTCTTGCTGTCGTGTGAACATGTTGATAGTATCGCTGAATGTCACAATATTGATCACCGTGACTACCTGTCTCAGAAACTGTGACTTGAAGTGTTACAGTAGGCTCTGTGAACTCTTTTGCCTGAGAAAGCCCTGATAAAACCTAGTGATGTGTGAATGTCAAGGGAATCTGAGGCTTAGACTTACATGCTGGGTTTATGGAGTAGTTCCTGACAGATGGATTGATTAGCGGGGGCGGTACTAGCCATTCCGGACACCAGGCCCATTGGCCTGTTGTTACAGAAAACATATTAAGGAAAGAAGATGATACGTTACTGGCTTTTTCTCCCTCCCTTCTGCCTTCATTCTCTACAGCTCTTCCTTTCTCATCTCCTTCTCTCCCTGCCCCCTTTTCTTTTGAACTTTCATTAACTTATTAGTGACAAATGGCCAGTTTGTGACACTTAGCGTTTTCTCAAAGCTTCAGGTTAATGTTCCAAGATAATTAGCAACATTTCAAGGTCTCCTTTATATGTGAATAACAGTGAAAATACCAAATTGTTTACTTTGTATAACCTTCATTAATGGCCAGCAGAAGTCATGATTTCTTTGTTTAAAACGCATAATAATAAAAAGTATAGGCTCACTTCCTGTGGAAGTGAGAGGATACTTAACTTTGCTTGATAGCACGTAGCTAAAATTTATGAAATTTGATAGCTGTATTCTCTTACTGCTGTGCATAACTGGTACTGATCCAGATCAGGCTCCTGCTGGAGTTAAAGTGAATGGTGTGTTTGCCGGAGCTTCGGGACTAAGCTCTCTAGAACAGGACTGGGCTGTGGAACTTAAGCCAACTGAAAAGCACACGGCAACTCCTTTATCAGCCTGCCCTTAAAAGAGTGTACAGGGCTTCTGTATGCCTAAGGTGTGCCTCCACTGCAGAGCTCCCCTAACTTCACATATTTGTTTTCAAGACACAGTGTTAGATATTTAAGTGACAGAGGCATCAGCGCTTCCCTCAGTCCTTGATTTTTTAAAAAAATTTCATAGACTTGCACATCTACAAGCTTGGCATTCTTCTAATGGGAACACAGCAAGGAGGGCAGGGGCAATGCATTTCTGAGCGGCACTCGGAAACATACCAGAGCCTTCTTTCAAAGAAAATTTTACCCAGCTCATATGATCTGACCCTGTCCCATCTGCGCAGCTTTCTTCTCTTTGCTTTTTTTTTTTTTTCTTCTCTCAAAGACTAATGCAGGTTTGCAAGTATTTTGATCCCGGTGCCTCCCCACAGGTTCCACAGGCTTTGTTTCAGGCCCTGGGGGAGGAACAGTTGTGAATGCAGTGTGACTCACTGACTCCCACTTTGCTGATTCTGGTTCTGATTGGTCGTCACCTTGTTCTAGCCATATGGCTGCAGAGTACTCTAGCCTGCATCCCTTCCTCGTTCTTTCCCCTACTGTTCCCTTCTGTTGTACACGACGCTGGGAGTGGGTTCCAGGCTTTGTCTCTTGCTTCTAGTTTACCCCAGTTAGGCACTAAGTAGGAGAGCACGCTGTATTTCCCAGGGATGGCTGTAGAGGAAAAAAAATACCTTTTCCTTTTGTGCCTGGTAGAGTAATTATTTCGTTTCCTGTGCTGTTTTTGTTCAAAGTTTATTTTTTGGCAGGTGTCACATTTGTGTTCTATTATTTCCTCATGGTTTCTCTGCTCCCCCTGATTTGAGCTGGGTTTTTTTTGTAGAGGTTCTTGGAGTCCCTTTCTTGGGCTGCTGATGCTACGCTCCAGCTAGTTCGTTACTATGTTTGTTTAGTGCTGGTTGTATCTTAGGGAGGAGAACTGAAAGCAACTCTAAATAGTGATTTAGGGCGCCTGGGTGGCTCAGTTGGTTAAGCGACTGCCTTCGGCTCAGGTCATGATCCTGGAGTCCCGGGATCGAGTCCCGCATTGGGCTCCCTGCTCAGCAGTGAGTCTGCTTCTCCCTCTGACCCTCCCCCATCTCATGCTGTATCTCATTCTCTCTCTCAAATAAATAAATAAATAAAATATTTTAAAAAATAGTGATTTAATTGTTAAATGTCTTACTGTTCTGAAGTCACCAAGCAAAAACATCTACCAGTGATACGGTCCTCAAACTTATCTGTGGCACCACTGACACCACTTGCCCTTCTCCCAGACTGTGTGAGTTCAATTACTCTATCTTTTTATACTTGAGAAATAGGGTTTTGAAGACTGGGAAGTTAATTTTTTTTTGTAAGAATTTGATATTTTTATTAATCTGCATTTTTTAGTATTCTGCAGATGGTTTCTGCAAAGACTTTGGACTCTGCATCCTTTTTTTCTTTTCTTTGTAAAATTGAACTACTCAAAGAGGCAGTGCTAGCGGAGTATAAAGTTTAGCAGACTTCCCCCCGCCCCCTTTGCCTTTATAGGATATTTTCATTGCCTAAAAAGAATCAATAAAAATATAAAAAATTCTCTAAATGATATATTTCGTATTGACTTAAAGTTTTTAAAAATCCATTTTATAAATATTTTAATGTTCAAATATGTTAAGCAAGTAACCTTACAAGTTTGGATTCTTTAGAGGATATGTGCAGTGAAGTTGGTTAGAATCATAAGGGGGGGGTTGAAATCAACCTGGCCATATGGTTTCACTTAACCCTTTATTTAAAGATCTTCATTTACTTCTTTTTCTTCATTCATGATCTGTATTAGAACATGGCAGTCTATTTTTATCAGAAATAACAAACCTCAGCTGGTGAACTCACTTGAAAGTATATGAGGAGTACTGCTTATACTTGCTTCCAGCCATTAGACCAAGAGAGGCAGCCCAAGTCTGGCCCCAAATGGTTTTATATGACATGTTCTCTGAGTCATTTGCTAGTCTCCGGTCCCCATCACTTTACACATCATGTGAAGAGACATTTACTTAGCTACATACTTCTAGCCGTGAGTATAATTGTGGACAAAATAGGTCCTTGCCCTCATGGAGCTTACATTCTTTTTTTTTTTTTTTTTAAGATTTTCTTTATTTATTTGACAGAGACACAGTGAGAGAGGGAACACAAGCAGGGGGAGCGGGAGAGGGAGAAGCAGGCTTCCCGCTGAGCAGGGAGCCCGATGCGGGGCTCGATCCCAGGACCCTGGGATCATGACCTGAGCCAAAGGCAGATGCTTAACGACTGAGCCACCCAGGTGCCCCTGGAGCTTACATTCTGTTGAAATATATTATAGTAAGAAAGTATCCAAATATGCATTTTTCTTGGATTTGAATAAGAGCTAGAATATTCAAGAAACTTTAGTTTTTATATTTTTATCCCATGTAACTAAATCCCTCCTCTGCCTAAACAAATGTACATGTTTCTGCAAATCTTATCCCAGCAAAGAGGTCCTGCTCATGAGTTACACGTTTGAGTAATTCAGAACGAGTATTGTTTGTATGACATATTTCTGAGATCAAGGTTTCTCTGTTTAAAAGTCTGTTTAGGGGCTCCTGGGTGGCTTAGTTGGTTAAGTGACTGCCTTTGGCTCACGTCGTGGTTCCAGGGTCCTGGGATCGAGCCCTGCATCGGGCTCCCTGCTTGGCGGGAAGCCTGCTTCTCCCTCTCCCACTCCCCCTGCTTGTGTTCCCTCTCTTGCTCGCTCTCTCTCTCTCTCACTCTGTTAAATAAATAAATAAAATCTTTTTTTTAAAAGTCTGTTTAAGGGCGCCTGGGTGGCTCAGTTGGTTAAGCGACTGCCTTCGGCTCAGGTCATGATCCTGGAGTCACAGGATCGAGTCCCGCATCGGGCTCCCTGCTCAGCAGTGTGAGTCTGCTTCTCCCTCTGACCCTCCCCTCTCTCATGCTCTCTCTATCTCATTCTCTCTCTCAAATAAATAAAATCTTTAAAAATATATATATATAATAAAAGTCTGTTTAATGTATGAAACTGATAAATGATGTTTGTGTGAATAACAAAAATTAATATGGCCAGTGTCTGTGTTATCAGATAGAAAAAGTAAAACGACCAACAATGCGCCAGGCACAGTTGTGGGTACTTTACATCCAGCAGCTTGTTTGGTACTCATTAGAACCCTAAGGGTATTGTTAATCACCTCATTTTACAGAACAGGAAATTGAGACACAGATAGGTTAAGTAACTTGCCGAACATCAGAGAGCTGGTAAGTAGCAAAACTGAAATCTGTGTCTCCAGAGTCACGTCCTCACGGCTACGCTATATTACCCTTCCAGCCGAGCACACCAAGCTAATAATGGAGCTGAAATCTGAGCTCTGCTATGTGATCTCCATTATCTTTTCTTCTCTGTGTGGCTCAGTTTCCCTTGATATATGAAGTGTGTCTTATGCTCTTGGTTTCTCCTCATGTGTTGCATCTGTCGGTTTTAGATGTCACAAGTTTTAGATGAAGCTGGTTATGGAAAGATGTCAGAGGTATAGTTGCCCATTTCACAGAGCCGATAGAACAATGCTCTGATAGACGTTCTTTCTTTTTGTCTTCATGGGGTAGAAAAGGGTAGTTGAACAGCTGCGGAAGAACCTGATAGTAAAGCAGGAACAACCGGACAAGTTCCAAATACAGCCATTGCCACAATCTGAAAACAAACTGCAAACAGCACAGCAACAGCCACTCCAGCAGCTCCAGCAGCAGCAGCAGCACCACCACCACCACGCCCAGCCGGCTGCACCCTCTCCCAGCCTGACCGCTTCACAGGTAAAAGTGCGGAGGGGGCCCTGCAGGCCTCCTGCCGTGGGCCGGTTTAGTATCGGTCATGTAGAGCTGGGGCCTGTTTCAGACCATGCTAAGCTCAGCCAGCACTAGACAAAAGTTACTCCGGTTACTTTTTTATACTATACGACTGGGGTAAAAATCCCTGGAAATTCATTGGCAGAAGGAAATGATACTACTGAGGAGCAAAAATTAAATGATTTCCCACCTGTCCAAAGAAGAGGGGAAAGGTAGACAGTGACAAAGAAAAAAATGACTTCTCTGTGTTAGAACAGAACTAAGGTCATATTTTGAATTTCTGGAAGTATTTCTTTGCACTTGTTCTAAAAGTCTGTGTGACTCTGCCTTCTCTGGAATTGTTTTGCTGGAACTCTTAGCAGTTAGGTGTGGAGATATTCCAGGAGCGGGACCCTTGGAAACAGGTAGAAAGGCATTCAGAAGAAGGGTGATATGTTTCCATTATTCAGAGCATATGAATTTGTTCTCATATATTGAAGGAAATCTGAAACGGAAGCTACAGGTCCAAACTAGAACTAGGAACTGGAGGCTTAATAACATTCTTTTTTTTTTTTTTAAGATTTTATTTATTTATTTGACGGAGAGAGAGACAGTGAGAGAAGGGAACACAAGCAGGGGGAGTGGGAGAGGGAGAAGCAGGCTTCCCGCTGAGCAGGGAGCCTGATGCGGGGCTCGATCCCAGGACCCCGGGATCATGACCTGAGCCGAAGGCAGTCGCTTAACCAACTGAGCCACCCAGGCGCCCCAGGCTTAATAACATTCTAACTTGGTATGGCTGTGCAGATGTTTTTGCTGAAAGGGGCACTTAAACTAGCATATAAGGGTAGTAAGGCAAGATACACAAAAAGGACATATTTGGGAATAACGTTCAGTTAAGAAAACTATCCAATGAAAATGTTTTTGACATTTTGAATGGTTAAAAATATTTCATAGTATTTGTATTATTTTGTATGAAAATTATATGAAAGTCCAATTTCAACATCTATAAATCAAATGTTATTGGAACACACACACACACACACACACACACACACACACACAAGAAGAAAACCATTCAGGCGTGATCTCCACACACCTGCTTGTAATGTGGGCATACCTTTTAAAATGGGATGGTTGAGCAGTGGTTCCTGATTCTTAGGGATCACAAGCCCTATAAGACTTTGGTGAAGGCTGTGGATCCTCTCCCCAGAATAATACACATTCACACCTGGTAAAACTCATTTTTGCACATGACTTCAAGGACGTTGGGATCTTCTGAAACTCAAGCATGGGCATCCTTTACGCACCAATACTAGGTCTTCACTATATACGTAGAGAAAAAGATTATAGTTTACTTGATTATTCACTGTTTTGTGGACATTGGGCTCGTTCATATAGAACATTTTTCAAGTGAAGAATACAGTACTTGTAAAAAATACTAAAGATTACTAAAGATAGTTGACAGTTAGTCACAGTTACTGTATACTGCTATTCTCCTGAGCGCTTTACATATAACATATACAGTCCTTACCCCAACGCTAATAAGGAAGGTGGTATTATTATTATTATTCTGTTTTTTAGAAAAGAAAACTAAGGCACAGCGAGATTAAGTAATTATCGAAAATTGTACAGGTAGCATGTGTGGTAGAGCCTAGGTTTGAACTCAGATGTTCTGGTGAAGAAAGTCTGTCCCTTCGCTTCTCTTCTGTACTGCCAGACAATACCAAAAAAAGAAATGCCAACATTATATAAAATGCCAAAGTAGGAAAAAGAGTAATTCCTGTTGTAAGTCAGATAGCTGGAGCATAAATTTTGCCATAATCTCCACTCCTAGGATCTTTGAAAATTAAGCATTCAAACTGACTTTTAAAACCCCCTGACCAGGACTCGTATTTCTTCTGAAGGATTGCTTATCAGATTACTTTTGTTGGAGTTGATTCGTTTGTTCTCTTTGCAAAGGACAGTTTGATCAGAAAGTGTTTACGGGGAAGGAGTGTGGTAGAATTCATTGTTTCCTGCTATGTACGAGTTTTCTCTCTTAACCCATGGAAACTTGCTGTTCAAGTAACATTCCGTGTCCCACAAATCAGAGGAAATACTTATATAATACTTGTAATACCTCTTCCTTCCCTAGTAATCTGAGTTCTGTCCTGCTTTGGGAAGGTGAATGATGGTAAGAGGCGAAGGGCTATCCCCCAAACAGTGTTGTGTGGCATCTCTCTACCTGGTAGCCCACCTGATATATTTAATTGATTTAGCTTAGCTTGTTTTATACTATTCTGTTAATTTTAAAAGCCAAAAGACCCTCTAAGTTTTTGATTTCTGTCTTTACGGTAAACTGTCAATCAGTATTTATTGGGTGTTCTTGGTGTGTTAGATTCTGGTATACAAAGAGGTAGTTATGGTCCCTGCCTCAAATCTGGTATATTATCATTTTCATTCATTCTGTAAATATTTATTGGGTCTCTATTATACGCAAACACTGCTAGGCAGTGAAGAAGGTAGATTCACAAATAAGACAGAATTTTAAAAATGTAGAGAAGAAGAGGAAAATGTAAACTGCCAACAAAGAAGAATAAAATGAAAGTGCCGGTGAAGAGCTGTGAAAAGGCCAGAGGACAGAGTAATTTTAACTAGAGGGATCAGAGGTGCTTCATGAATGAGGTGACACTTGAGCAGGATGTGGACAGATCAGTGAGGTTTTAGTGATGGAGCAGAGGGGAAGAGCCTCCCATGGAGAGAACTGCGCGAACTAAAGTATGGAGTCACAAAAGTAAATGCATGTCCTAGGAATAGCAAAGAGACTGATGTGGCTGTAGTGTGGATTCTGGGCAATAATGGAGAGGGAGATAAAGCCAGAGGCAGAAAGAAGCTAGCTTGTAGAAGCCCTCCAATGCATGGCAGAACCGTTGGGAGTTTTGGGCAGTCAGCGGGAGTCATTAAAGGTCCATGAGGTCAGGGACAAATGGGAAGTTGTATACGGCATATATTAAATATCTAAGTTCAGAAAGGAGTAACTATTAAGTAGCAATCAGCACGGGCAAACAGGAGGTGGAAGAGAAAGTTTTTTATTTGAAGTCAGGTGGCTAGCAGGGACCAAGGCATAGGAAGTGGAGGGACCAGTCCCCTTTACTTAGTTAACTCAAATTCATCCTTGTAGGTAGATTATGAAATTTTTTCAATTTACAGGAAAAAAAAATGAAAGACTAGAAGAGTTGAATGCAGGTATACCCTTCAAGTTGTATTCACAAACCTGTCCTTTTTAATGATATAATACAAATGTAAAGAAGCATACAGTTAATAAAACCAAATAGAAAATAAACCCTAATGGACAAAAAGAAGAGTGGGGTGGTTCTATTTGTAGTCATGTGGGTGTGCAGCAGTTATCTGCCATTCAAAATTAAATGAAAATAGTCTAAAATAGATATGGAAGTTCACTAGAACCCATAATAATAATCGCTGTAGGTTCTGATTTGTTCATTGGAGTCTGTTTTAAATCAACACCTCATGCTCTGCAGGTAAACAACAATAATAACTTGGCAAAAAAAAAAAGGAGTTTGCTTTTAGTGCTTCTTGCCATGTATTTCTGCATTAATTTCTAGTTGGTGTAGTTTAGATTTTGTCAAAATTAAAGAACCTCTTCATGACACTGGGGAAACTGCTCTCTTGTCTTGGAGCCAATCACAATTGGACAGCATCAACCAGGGACTAATCATAGCTTCCAGAAAAATAATTTTCTTTGTTGTTGGATACCTTTCCTCTCCTGTGTCTTCTCTTCTTCCTGCCAAACAGGTCAGAGGTTGTCATTAGGTTTGGATTTCAAAATTCTAGATTGTCTCTGAACTCTTAACACTCCCAAGAGTTTGGTTTATATTCCCAAGCTCTTAGAATAGCATAAGCACCAGACCAGAGGTAAAGATTTAAGCAATACCTGTGTCGATACCTGGTGTAAATAAGTAGTTACTTGATGTATTTTTCAAAAAGTTTTCACTGGTGACTATAGTACTATGCCTTGTGCCTATATATACAGAGAATTATATAGGTGCTAGAATACATGTTGTGAAATTAGCCACAACTAAATATCTATAAAGTAGAATAAAATGCTAACCTAAGATGTCAACAAACTTGTTAGGTTTCAGGGTTTTTTAAGTGTTGCAGTTAATGGTAAGTATATAATTCAGGTGAGTTTGAGGTTTTACTGACTTTTTTTAGAATAATCACTTCAGGGCGACTCAGAATATTGATAGTGATTTACCTGAACCAAGGATGTTTCAAACAAAAGTACATGACCTCTTTCAAAGCAGTAACAGCATGCACAATTGTTTTTAAAATCCATGTCAGTGAGTTCTGCTGATTAGAGCCTTTACTTCCATAACCTGTGTTGGCACCAAGATTGAATGCCATCTGGTGTGATTTGCTCACCATTTGAAAAGGTCTTTGTATTTTAATGTCTTAAACTGAAAGAAAGGGCTAATATCACACTGGGTTAAAAACACTGATTACAAATAGCTGGTAATGTAAAGTGAGTCCTTTCTGCTACACCACTGTAATATTTCTAATGATAAACAGCATTTAGCTTTTATTTGGTTTTCATCATGGATAGGTAGTAGATGACCTGCCTCCCCCTCCCCCAGAATAAATACCAGTGTTCCCCTTTTACTCCCACTTCACAGTTGAGGAGGCACTGACCGAGGAGAATGAGACATGCCTGTGTTGCTGATTAGAGAGAGGAAACAAAGATTTGGGTGATTTTAATTACAACCATTAGTAAGGATTGCTTATAGGCTGCGATGGGATAGATGAGGCCAGATCACTAATTGTTTTCATTGAAAGAAAATAAAGATATTAAAAGATTAGATGATGTTTATCTGTGTTTCAGACACCTAGGAAAAAACCAACTTAGCACACAAGTACTGACAGTCACTGAAATAGAAATGCACAAGGGGATTTGTCCAGATCTGTTTCAGGGGAGCTGGGTCCTTTCCAGTGGTGTTGTGCAGTGCTGTCCAATCAGACTTTCTGCAGTGTCGGAAATCTTCGCTGTCCAGTTTGGTAGCCACTAGCCACCAGTGGCTTTTGAACACTTGAAATGTGGACAGTGTGACTGAGGAACTGATGTTTTAATTTTATTTTGTTTTAATTAATTTGAATTTAAATGCTTTGTGTGGCTGGGAGCTACCAAATTGGACAGTGCCAGTATAGAGTAAGAAGAAAAAGGTGGAGTAGTATCAAAACCAGAAGCAGCATGTTGGACCACATAAACTTCCGTGTTTCTGAAACGTTTGGAGCTTTAGGATCTTGAGTGAGCACTGGCACTAGATTAGATGTGTGTGCCATGTAATAAGGTTGTTTGCATTTTCTTGTTTTGTAACTGCCCCTTTAACTACTCTAGAAACTACAGCTAGAAGTCTAGAAACTACAGCTGCAGAGCACAAGCACTTGTGGAGGATCAGTCAAGTCCTGTCACCTCTGCTCATCCTCTCAACTATCAGGCTTTTTTTTTTTTTTTTTTTTAAGCGGTGGGGAAAGGGCAGGAGGAGACGGAGAGAGAGAATCTCTAGTAGGCTCCACGTCCAGCACAGAGCCGGACAGCGGGCTCGATGTCCGACCCCTAGATCACCACCCGAGCCGAAACCAAGAGTCGGATGCTTAACCAACTGAGCCACCCAGGCGTCCCTGATCTATAAGGCTTTTTGAAACACAGGTGTTTACTTCCACTTTGTCATGTTTCACTGGATCTTTGATTGCTTCTGCAGCAGTTCTCCAGAGAAAAGATTGTAGTTAGTGACTCACAGCCCTTTGGTATCAAGAGCTGGTATTTACTATACTAGGTGGTTAATAGGTTTTATTATCTAGAGTTTGGGATTTACTGCCTCTGAGGCAACAATTGTGCTAATCCTCATGTGAGTTTCCCTTCCTCCTCTCTAGGGTGACACTCGAATGAAAAGACACTGTCCTTTCATCCCAGATTTTGTGTGACAGGAGGCAGATAACCAGAATTATATGATGGCTTTCTTCATATTGATGAGGTTGTAGCAATTAAAGATAGAGATGGTGTATACCCCATCGATTTGCAACTTCTACAGAGTTTAAATTGAGAGCAAGCAAAGAATAAAAAAACAGATAAATAGGTACACTCATATTCTGTATCTGTAAACCCACCCCATTCATTGTTGAAAATCCTGTGCCCATATTTGTCCGCGATTATTACTATGAACTTGAAGCTAAATTTGAAAACTCTGGCACAGACTAGAGACAGTCTTTCCCTATAGCAAAAAGTGTGCTGTATGTACACAAAAGAAATGTTGTTATATGGAGAAACTTGATTATAAGAATCATTGCTTTGTTTTCTTCTGGGGATTAGTAGCATATTGTTTAGTGGGATCACACTTCAGTGTCCTAATATCTGTTCTCCATGTCTCCTAGAAGACTGTAACTACAGCTTCTATGATTACCACAAAGACACTACCTCTCGTCTTGAAAGCAGCAACTGCGACCATGCCTGCCTCTGTTGTGGGCCAGAGACCTACCATTGCTATGGTGACCGCCATCAACAGTCAGAAGGCTGTGCTCAGCACTGATGTGCAGAACACACCAGTCAACCTCCAGACGTCTAGTAAGGTCACTGGGCCTGGGGCAGAGGCTGTCCAAATTGTGGCAAAAAACACAGTCACTCTGGTAAGCCAGCAGCTGCTACTCATGTGTGCCCACATGAGAGGGTTCAGGATATGCATTTGTAGAGTATATCCATTTTGTGCTCCTGCTGGATTTTTTAGTCTCCGTCATTCAGCCATACCAAGTTTTCCTTGAGGCTGACAAGGGAATATGGCATTCCTACTATCTGCTCAAATAACTGTAGAGGTGTCCCTTGGCACCAAGGACCAAAATACATTCAGTGCATTATCTGCAGTCAAAGTATGACTTGACCTGGGGAGGAATGTCCTTCGTAGTGGCATGCACACAGTTTTATGTAGCTCTCTCCATCCTATTCGCAGACCTGCCTGTGAAACTTGAGTGCTTACACTCTCTGCTTCTGTATTACCAATTTGGGGAAAACTCCCCGCTGAACTCCTTTAGTTCACTATCCCTTGAAATTGGCTGCACCAAGGAAGTACTAGAACAAGCTGAGGCGCTTGAAAAATATTCAAGAAACTCACAAATTAACAGTGTCCGTGCCCAAGGTCTATCAGAAAAAAAGATCCCTTGAAGAATTACTTGAACAAAAACTGTTCATTTCATGAGATTCTAGGGTAAAACCATTTAGAAATTGATGCTCTCTGAAGCTTGGGGGAAATATAACCAAATTGTGGTTTTAAAGTCCCTTCTTAAAATTGCAGCTAAGAGCTCTTCGTGGCTTTTGAATGATGACCAGTGATGAGTTAAACTAGATAGCAGTAAAGTGAAGCTTCAGCACTTACCAGGAATCTTGAGAGAAGCAACCAGTTATCTCAGCCAAATGCTGAGAGTTAGAAAATTCTCTACAGGAATAAAGCCATTCACTGCTAGATAAAGCTCTTATATTAGGAAAAAGCTCATTTGGCCAGGCAGCAAGTTTGATTTTACTTTGGATCCATTCTTGACTTTTAAAATATGTACGTGCAAGAGTTCTTGAATGTCAAAGGAAATTGTCTAAGATTACCGAGGCTGCTGTGTTATACATTAGGCGTGTAAGGACACAGAAATGCAGTTGGTTCACTTTGTAGGGTAAAATATGCAGGTGGGAAAAAATTTTCTTCAGGCAGTGTTAATTCAGATGGTTAATTCTACAGTGAAAACTTTTAGAAAATATTGCCTGACCCAGAGAATAGTGATGCTAAAAATACTGTGAGAATGCCTAGCTTTGATATTGAACAGTTATTGTCCTCTGTGGTTTATTTATTTTTCCCATTTTTTAGCAGGTTCAGGCAACACCTCCTCAGCCCATCAAAGTACCACAGTTTATCCCCCCTCCTCGACTCACTCCACGTCCAAACTTTCTTCCACAGGTGAGTAAACCAGTGACAAGCCCAGGGATAAGTTAGGTGAGACAGAAGTCCTCATGGGCCCTTTTTAAGCAGCCTGTGAAGTGTGCTCATCAGCTCAGCTTTGTTCAGATCTTACTTAGTTAGCTAAAGGTTCTAGATGCTGATTTCTATACTGGGAAGAAGCTTATTTGATCACTGGGGTTTCTTAGCAATGACCAAACGCAGTAGCGGGGGGATGTGAGGAAAAGGAGAATTTAAGATAGCCACATTTTAAAGTTTTAAGTTATGATGTTAACTTACTGGAAGTTTAGCCAAACCTGCCTTCCAGTGGGGAAGGAATGCAATCACTACTTTTTTTTTTTCCTGTGTGCCAAAGAGAGTAGGGAAGGAAACAATAGCCAAACTAACCAGTAGAAACCAGAGAAATTTAGTTTTACTCTGGGAAGTAATGGCATTAAGCATACTTTTTAAACACAAAGCCTTGCCTATAAAAGTTTAGACTGGGGGTCTTCACAGGGAACTTTCTACCTAAACCCAAGCAGCTCTGCTTGCCCATATTGCCTTGGGAGAATTCTTCTAGCAGTTGGACTGAACTCATCATTCTTATTGCAGGATGTCAGGATTGCCCCAGTCTGGGTTTTGACAGGACTTGACTTGCCTCGTAGAAAGGCTAGGAGTTCCCATCAGAAGCCCCATGTTGCAGGCAAAGAGAGAAGAGTAAGGGATTTTGTGGTCAGTGGACATAGGTGATTTCCAAATTGCCCGTGCACTAGGTTTGGGCATTGAGAACATGAGATAAGGTGATTTCAATCATTTATCCAGTAGATCCTTAATAAATACCTTGGGTATCAAAAAAGCCAGTTTTCAAGACAGTTCTCTGCCCTCAGATGGCTTCAGATCTATGTACAGGCAATCACAGTGTCCATTATGGGAAGTACAGTGTAGTCTGACCACACACGGGAGGGACACCCAACTCATTCTTAAGGGTATTCTAGTAAGTTTTCTAGAAGAGTTGACATTCAGTCTGAGACCTAAAATCCTAGTAAAGTTAGCCTGACGAAGTTTTGGGGGAATAATAAAAATGTCCCAGGCAGAGGGTAGAGCCTATATGCTAATCCAGTATGGAGAGATGCATGTAAGCCTAAGGAACCACAAGGCAATTTGGTGTAGCTGATCATACTGGGCCATGTAACTGACTCAGGCTAGGGTAAGAGGTGAGGCTGGAGAAGCCCATTGTGCCACAGCCTGTGGGGCCTTCTAGACTATGTAGGAATTTGGGCCTTATCCCAGGAACAATGGGGATCCATGAAAACATTTCCAAACAAATACTTGAAATGATCAGATTTTTGTTTTAGAAAATTCCCTCTTGTCATTGTGTGGAGAATAGATTGGAGATGATCAAGACTGTGGGCAAGAAGAATAGTTAGGACATCATCAGCAATAATAGCTAATGTTTGAAGACTCCGGCTATGTGCCGCTTACTGTGCTAGGCACCTTCTGTCGGTTATCTATTTTAATCCCCATAACAGCCCTGTGAAAGTAGTTATTTTTTTTTAGGTAGGGAACCTAGGGCTTAGTCCATGTTTTCCAAACAGTGGGTCATGACCCATTAGTAGGTTGTGTGAAATTAATTTAATGGATTGTGACCAGAGTTTTTAAATAAAGTGAACAAAACAGAATATGAAACATTAGAGTACATTGCACATACGTAATGTCTCATGAAGTTTTTGTTCTATAGAGATATAGGTCTATGTCTATATGCATGTACTGGTTACAGTGAGAAATGTATTCCCTACTGTGTGTCTGTAGCAGCCACCACAGGGTCATCTTAAGTTCAGCTAAATATTCAGATTCATGGGACTGTCAAGGCCCACACTTCAACACAAGACAGAAACCAGAGCTTACCAGCAAGACAACATCAGACATTTTTCATCAGCCTATATAGCAGTCCCTACAGCTGTTCAGTGATAGCTCAGGAGCAAGGAAATGAGATCTTGATCAGGACGGTGGGAGAGCCATCCTGGCATAGAAGCCTTACACCACACAGGAACCAGTGTATCTTGTAACAGTTCCAGAGCCGTGGCTTTCAGGGTCCCCACACTGGACATGCTCAGTTACAGAAGTCACCCCACTTCATGAAGCCCAAAGCATGGTGTCCCATCAAGTATTTATAATTCTCCCCATTCAGATTCAATTTACCCATAAGTGATCATTTTTACCATAAGCAATGTTGCCTGGTAACATAGTTGACATTCTTACCCTTAATCAGGTTTCCAGGGGAACAGAGCTGGAGAGTTAACTGCAGGTCAAACTTTCATGCATAAGGGGAAAAGATTTTGCCCACAGGGTCACTGTACAGAAAGTTAAAAAAATGCTGGCTTAAGTCAGGTATGTTACCTGAGGTTAGCCAGCTAGTAAGTGGTAGGAAGCAGGATTTGAACCTAGGCATGGCTGACCCCATGTTTTTAATCATAATCTTTTGTCACTGTTCCAGTAAAGCCAGACATGAGGTAGAGCGATGGCAGGATGAGGGTAGAAAGCAGCCGTATTTGAGAAGGGTTTAGGAAGTAGAGGTACAGGAGGCAACATCAAGACTGGTTCTGAAGTTTATTTAGCAGGAAAAGACCATTTCCTGAGGGGATGATAATAGGAGGAAGGAGAGAGTCAGAGGAAGAAATAGGTGAGTTTTAGACATGTTGATTTTTTATTGTTGTTGTTTTTAAAGATTTTATTTTTAAGTAATCTCTACAGCCAACATGGGGCTCAAACTCACAACCCCAAGATCAAGAGTCACACGCTCCACTGACTGACCCAGCCAGGAGCCCCTAGACATGTTGATTTTTAATTTCTTGGGAGACTTCCAGGTAGAGATATATGACAGGCAGTTGAGTATATGATTCTGAAGGTCAAGAAATGTGTGGTCCTGAGATACCAAGTATGGACGTCTTCAGTACACAGATGGTAACTGAATCCATGGGATGGGTGAGAACTCCCAGGAAGAGTGAGGAGATTGGGAAGAAAAGAGGTTCCAGGACAAACTCTGAGAAATACTTATATTTAGGACTGGGCAGAGGAAGAGGAAGCCCACAAAGGTGACTTAGAGGAGCGGCCAAGAACAGGGAGTTAGAGAGCAAGGAGCCACGCTGAATTGAAGCCACGGACATGAAGAAATTTAGAATGTGAATTAAGACCAGCGGCAGCATTATTACCATACTGGGCACAAATCCTGGGTGAGACCAGCCTCTGGATTAGGCATTTGACTTCAGTCCGAAGAGGCAGCATGGTATGGGAGAGGGAGCTAAGGTTTGGATTCAGAAGAACCACATTGGAGGGTAACCTTTGGACCCTCTTAAGAGCTGATGAGTCTTTTATAAGATTATATATCCTGACAGCCATAGAATTAATAATACCAAAATGAATATTAATAAATATTGGTACTAAATACCATTTCACGTACAAAGTGTGAAAGACCTGGCAATGTCTTAGACTTACAAGACTTGAGAAGTTTCTTTAAGTAATATGATAATTATCCTCTCTTTCCCCATAGGTTCGACCCAAGCCTGTGGCCCAGAATAACATTCCTATTGCCCCAGCACCTCCTCCCATGCTTGCAGCTCCTCAACTTATCCAGAGGCCCGTCATGCTGACCAAGTTCACCCCCACGACCCTCCCTACCTCCCAGAATTCCATCCACCCCGTCCGTGTCGTCAATGGGCAGACTGCAACCATAGCCAAAACGTTCCCCATGGCCCAGCTCACCAGCATTGTGATAGCTACTCCAGGGACCAGACTCGCTGGACCTCAGACTGTACAGCTTAGCAAGCCAAGCCTTGAAAAACAGGTACAGGCAGAGTATGCATCTGCTTTGGGCAGTAGTAGCCTTGCCGTTGAGGCTGGGCTGGCTCTGAGAATGCTTTACCTCAGCACCATTGTCAGTAACCTGTTGCTTATCATGTGATCATTTATCCACAGTGCAAAAGGGCCAATCTTACTGAAGAAAGTTGGGTTGCTTTTCCCTCCATCCCCTTCCAGATGGATTCAGATTCCTGTGGGAGTGAGCTCCCCCTGCTGGTTCTGAGCTGAAATTCACAGATGGGTTCTGCTGCTCTCCAGAAGCACAGAGATATATCATACACAGAAAATGGCATATTAGTTTTGGCCCAATAATAATACAGATGAGGATATGACTGTGAAAGGCAGGAAGAGTAAACAAAACAGGGAAAGGGATTTCATTTGACAGATTTCCCCTGGTTATTACAGATAATGAAGAACCAAATGAAAAAATTAAAATTTCTAAGAAGCATTTTTTTTACCTCTATAGAGAATACAGCCGTTTTAGCTCAAATATTGAAGTCTCTCATGTATATTTCTAAAGTCAGATTTTCTCTTAAAAACACAAGGCTAGAGAAATACAGGTAACCTCCAAAAATACTTAAGGGTTCTGTGACAGAAGACTTCTAAAAACAAGAAAAAGGATTTATAGGCAGTTACCATATTCTATTTAAAGAAAGACCAATGATGAGAAAGAAGAATTTTGCAAAGAAAAGCATCCTCTTTCAAGAAAGTTGCTTTAAAAAGTCATTGACCTATTTCTAATTGCTCAGGCTTGAGTTCTCATTCATCTGAAAATAGTCTCTGGTGATCCTGAATCTTCTGCTTCTGGATGGCTGACCATGATTCAGAGAGGCTGACCAGATGGTGGGAAATGAGAGGCTTCCTGCTGCCTTGGCCTTCTTGAACAGAGGATCCTTATGCATAGAGCACCCGGCTTTCTAACCAGACAGCTCATAAGTGCAGCAGACCTTGCACTAAAAAGCCGGGTACTAAAACCTCATGCTCAGAAAACACAAGGGAAAACAGATCTCTTTTCCTGGGGAGCCTACTCAAACCCCAGAAAGTGCTTTAAGGAACATTCAGAAATAAATTAGTTACGTATGTTTTATGTCCCAAGTTTTCAAACTTAGTAGCAGCAGAACTTCATTATTAAAATATGATAGTGAAGTGCTCAAGCTGGGAAGTTTGCATAGGAGCGTATTTAGAGATCAGCTGCCCTCGTGTCCTGTGCTGGCTTCCAGAGAGCTGGTGAAAGAGCCTTAGAGTTCCAAAGAATGTGGTTTCAAAACTCTTTTAGATTACTAAATAGTATTTTTCTCTGACCTCTTTTTTGATAAAGATACTTTTAGGAGACTTATTTTTTCAGTTTCATTTTAATTTTACATTTCTTATTTTTCTGATTACATCTACAATAGTATATATTCCTTATAAAGAAAACTCAAGCATTACAAAAATATGTAATGTACAAAAATGCATCCACTCCGTAATCTATGGAAAGAGTAAACTTCCCCCGTAATTCTAACCCCTGACACTTAAACAATATAAACAGTTCAGATTATATTCCTCCACATATTTTCTGTGCACCTACTAACGTTTTTAAAGCAAAAACCAAAATTAAGCAATATATATTTTGTAACTTGCTTTTTTTCATACTGGATCTTGAATATCTTTTCATGTTCTGGCCTTACATGTTCATAGAGCTTTTAATTTTAACTATAATACCATAAAAAGGTACCCACGAATTCTTAAAAATTAAAAAAAAAAAAAAAGAGTTTCTTTCCTAGCAGTAAATTCCATGGTCTCTCTTCTTGTTGATCTAATGGAGGAATCCAGTCATCGCTATTTTAGTTTAGCAGACCACCTGCCCTAACAGGCTTGCAGGTTATTAAGCTCAGTCAGCAGGGGTGCTCTTTAGACCAGACTCCATCCTCAGAATCCTCTGACTTCAGATCTTTCTCCTATCCTTCTTCTCTGTGTTTCATTTCCAGTATCACATTTATAGTGATCAGGAGATCTCATAGATGGGCTAAGCGTGAAGCAATATAAATATTGTAGCCACAGAGGTACTACTTACAGTCTGCTCATTGAGTTATCAAAACCTGTGTCCAACATTCTCTGTGTGACCAGGCCAGATGGGTTCCTGTTTTCTTCTGTTTCCTTTAGGTGATAACATTCATTTAATAAAAATGTGTTGATTACCTGCCAGCTACTATGCTGAATGTAATGCCTGAATACAAGGGTGGCTAAATCAAAGCCTAAACCCTCACAGACCTCAGTGCGTAGTGCATTTAGGACAGGTACGGACGGAGGCTTTGCCTCCGGGGGAGGAAGCATGGCAAGCTGTGTGGTTTCAAAGGCCTCCCATCTTGGCACAGAAAAGGAAGAAGACAGTGTCTGTTATGACAACAGTGTCTAACGTCTCCTTCCCCTGTCAGGCATTACCAGCTTCCTTATCCACCCCAGATAAGAGCGTCCCTGTCTTACCCTTTTTAGAAGCCACGTTACACTGTGGCCCTGAAAACATGAGTGCCAGAGTTTAAAGAGCTTTGAGGCTGGAAACATGTTTTTGGCGGAAAAGCAGAGCCAGACAAACTTACATCCCCCATACCACTGCCTTTTATGTCCCTGACTCTCTAGCACTCTGTGAAATGGGGCTAAACACCTGTTAATGATGCACTGAAGTAAAACGTTTAAAGTCTATTAGACTGATGCAGTTAGTTCTCAGGAATTATGTTTGTATTTTATCTACTGCACCCTCCCCCTGCAACAAAGACCTCCATGTATGTTCCCAAGGTAAGCTACTGAAAAAAAATCCTGGGTTCTTTGGGAAAAATCTGCCAGATTGCCACCCACTCCCCTACTTCTGTATCTTGCATAGGAGCTTACACTAGATCCTCTAAAAAAGGAGTGCTTCCAAGATGAGAATATTATCCAATGTATTATCCTCAAATCCCAGTCTTCCCTCTTAGGAAACGTGAGCTGGTGACTCTTTACCTTCCACTTTAATACTAATGCTCTAGCAGGAAAAATAGATCCAAGTGACCAGAGATGGATTTTGCTTTACCTTCAATCCAAATTTATTCAACCTTGATTGATGAATCTATTTGGACATTTATTTATTTGCAAGGGACTAATTTTGATTATTCATGCAGCCAAGTTTCATAAGATGAATTTGGAATTCAGGGTATAAATGGTTAACTTAGTTTTTCTAATCTTGTTCAGAGTGTTTGATTTCTGTCTTTATCACACCAAAAAGAACAGGATTTCTAAATTCAAATAGTCATGGGTGCAAAGCAGTAAGTGTAAATGAGTAAAGCAGGCTGGAAGTAAACACGTAGACTTTTTATTTTTCAGTTTTCAATGGGAGCACGAGTACAAGAGATATCCCACTTTTATTCTTAATTTCTCTTTGAAATAGTAAGACAAGCATGATAAAATTGACAATTTTGGCCTTGGTGTCAACAAGACCAAAGAAGGTAGAAGAGACTGTGGTAAGCCAGAAGGTAATATATGCCATCTCAAGGAAGCAACTACTTCTTGACAATAGCCAATTTTTTTATCATATGGAAACTTTTCCTTTAAGAAAGGCCAAAAATTCAGATATTTTGAGAAGTCACCTAGTTTTAAAAATACTGATAACTGTTTAAACACCATGTAGGCAAAAAATAGCAATTGCAGGGCAGCTTCACCTCTGGATAAATGGTTTATAATGTCTGACAAAGACCAAACCAAGGTAAAATCTTACTTGTTTTTGTTTGTTTGTTTCCCATTTTTTTTCACTTGGGTAAAATTCATACCACATATAATTAACCATGTTGAAATGAAGAATTCACTGGCATTTAGTACATTTACAGTGTTGTGCAACCACCACCTCTGTCTAGTTCCAAAACATTTTCATTCCAAAATAAAACCCAGTATCTCTTAAGTAATTACTCCATTTGCTCCTCTACTTTTTGTATCTGTAGATTTACCTATTCTGGATATTTCATATAGATGGAATCATATAATATGTTGCCTTTTGTGTCTGGCTTCTTTTAATTAGCATAGTATTTTCCAGATTCATCCACATCCTAACATGTATCAGTACTTCATTTCTTTTTAATGGCTGAATAATAGTCCACTGTATGTATATACCACAACTTGTTTATCCATTCATCCATTGATGGACATTTGGCCTCTTTCTACCTTTTTGCTATTGGGAATAATGCTGCTATGAATATTCATGTACAAATATTTGTTTGCATATCTGTTTTCTAGTCCCTGGGGGTCTATACCTAAGTGGAATTGCTGGATCGTGTAACAGTTCCGTTTTTAACTTTTTAAGGAACTGCCAACTGTTTCCAGAGCAGCTGAATCCTTTTCCGTTCCCACCAGCAATGTATGAGCATGCCATTTTCTCTGCATCCTTGGTAATACTTACTATTATTTTCTCTTTTTAAAAATTATAGCCATCCGGGGCATCTGGGTGGCTCAGTCGTTAAGCATCTGCCTTCAGCTCAGGTCATGATCCCAGGGTCCTGGGATCGAGCCCTGCATCGGGCTCCCTGCTCCACAGGAAGCCTGCTTCTCTCTCTCTCCCGCTCCCCCTGCTTGTGTTTCCTCTCTCACTGTGTCTCTGACTGTCAAATAAATAAATAAAATCTTAAAAAAAAAATTATAGCCATCCTAGTGAGTATGAAGTGGTATTGCATTGTGGTTTTGATTTGCATTTCATTAATTATTAAAATTGTTGGACATCTTGTGCTTGTTGGCCATTTGTATATTTTCTTTAGAGAAATATCCAGGTTCTTTACCAATTTCTATGTTAGGTTGTTTGTCTTTTTGTTGTTGAGTTGTAAGGGTTCTTTGTATAATCTGAGTACTAGACTCTTACCAGATTTGCAGGTATTTTTTTCCTCCCATTCTGTAGGTTGTCTTTTCACTTTTTTTTTTTTCCTGGAAGCCTGTATTTTCCTCATTATATGGGTAGTGTCCTTTGATACACAAAACTATTTAATTTTGATGAAG